CTAATAAAAGATATCACATATACCCAAAGAACCTTGCCTGCCTATGTCCTTAGGCCAACATGACTACAACCAAAAATCCTACAACCAGTAATGTATTCTGAAGACAAAATCTGTTCATTTTTTACAGAGATTGTGGACTCTCTTTCCTGTATGACAAAATAAACACAGCACACTAATTGCAGGAGACAGACTCGACTAACCAACAGAAGAAGATAGCCAAACCCATTTAAGACCAAAAGTATTAGCGGTCACATCCCAATCTACACTCTCTTGAGCATAAAGCCTGTCTCTTTTTCCCCACATAAAAAGACTTAATCTTTTTAAAAGCACTTTGATCTATCCTTCACTTTGAATGCACAACTCAGAGCTTGCAGATAGTTGTATCCCTTTTTTGCATCAGCAAACTGTTAAGGCTAATTGTTACAACTTCTAAAGGCATTTCTTCCAGCCCCACTCCAGCAGTTTCAACAATGAATATAAACCAAAAAGCCTGTATTTGTTGTCAGTTGGCTCCCTTAATATTGTCATTGAGGTGAAAGGTGTGTAGACAGCTTGGGAGCTGGTAGTAGATGGGAAGCTTGTCTTGAACAGAAAATTTTTGGAAAGTGTGGCAAATGGTGTTAAAAGGCAGGTTGTATCCATTGCACAGGTGTTGCAGGTGGGCTAGCACTGGGGTAGGGATTTGGTCTACAATGGGGTCAGACTGCAGGTGTCTTCTACTCAACAGAGGTACTGCATGTGACCTTCCAGTACCCTACATCTAACTTCCAAATGGTCCTCCAGTCTTGCTGCCTCAAACAACTGCAGAATTTTTAACACCTTCCACTACTGCTCTCTACAATATTTCCTTCTTTGCAGTCCCCTCTCCCTACCATAATCTTTATTGCACTCATCACTGTAGTCCTGCAGTACCTCTCCTCCTCTTCCTACTTTTTCCAAACAAAGTGAGTCACCAGAACATCCCAAGTCCAGCACATTGTTCAGTCCAAGTCGAGTCAACATAGCTATTCATTCTCCACTTGCCCACTCTCAGCTGTAGCTGGTTTTTCCCCAGCTTCCAGAGTAAGCTATCTCCCCATTTGATTCAAAGCTAGTGGGAGGACTTGGAAAGCAGCAGTGAAGTTGAGGGGGACAGGTCACTGGGTAAGCTTTTTGAGAGAATTATTCTGGCACATGTCCACGAGAGGCCAGCAGGGGAGATTATGCTTAGGGGCAACCAGCACGGGTTCGTTAGAGGCAGGTCCTGTCAGACCAACCTGGTGGCCTTCTACGACCAGGTCACCAAATCCTTAGATGTGGGGGTAGCAGTGGACATAGTCTTTCTGGACTTTTGGAAGGCCTTCAACACTGTCTCTCACCCTGTTCTTATTAAGAAACTGGGGGACTGTGGTATCAACACCTACACAGTCAAATGGGTTGCCAACTGGCTCCATGGCCACACCCAGAGTGTGGTGGTGGATGGGTCCTTTTTGACGTGGAGGGATGTGGGCAGTGGGGTCCCTAAGGGCTTGGTCCTCGGGCCCACACTGTTCAAC